ATTTGATAACCTAAATTCAGCTTAGTAAGTTTTATATTGTATTAAAGATATTGACCTTCAGAGAAGATACTCTACATTAAGGCCCCTTCCGTTCGGTTGCTTTTGCAAGTGTCTTTTTGAAAATTAACTGAGGTAATCTCAATGTGCTAGCTTTCATGCTCTTCTGCCAGTGGATAACCTCTAATGTCTTCTACAAATAACACCTGGAAGCTGCTTGGTTTGCTTATTCTTCAGTGTATTATAATTCTGCTCATTCCTTCACAGTTTTTTTTTTTTTTTTAATACAGGCTCAGCTATTACATTGAAAAAAACTACTCAAAATAAACTAACTTCGATTTAATGACATGCTACAACTCAGAGTATGCAGAGCGGAACATGATAAAAAGTTCTTTCTTAATTTTTGTTTATTAAAGGAAAAGGTTTTCAGTTTTGTTCCAGTAACAGAGAAATTCTTATCATAAGTTTTTCCTCATGACAAATGTATCTCACACACACAAAAAAAGTTTACACTGAATTAACATTGCTGAGTGGAGTCTTGGCAACAGGCACGAATGTAATGAATCTACATTTTTTGGCAAATAGACATGAAGTACTTGTACTTCCAAGTTACTGACATGTCAGATAGAGGATATACTTGGGACATATGACTTCACAGTTCTAAATCAGGTCATTCGCTGCAGTATCGAGACCACAAGCCTCACACCCCTGCACGATCAAAAATGTCAAAATATAATCAATTATTTTCCTGACATCTAAGCTGTCTGCTGGTCCTTCATATGAATGAAGGGTGTCTACTTAGTGGTTTAATAGCTCTGTATTAACAATAGTATTGCCATTGCTGCTCTCCCTCACTGCTATTTTTAAACTGGTGAAGCAACTGAAGCACAGAAAGGTTAAAAAAAAAAATAGATTATTGAAACAGCCAGGAAGAGAAATGTTCTTTTAAGAGACACACACATACTTTCATATAGCAGTTTTATTTCACTTTGTAAGACTTTTTAGCTGATTGAATCAGACTTTGGAGAAGCAGTTACAGGGATGCAGCACTCACAGCCCTTTGCAGAGCCAATAAAAGTTGTTGGATGCAAACTGAAGTTACGTTACAGGTACAGTTAAACAAGCCAGCTTAAGTAATCTAATAGCTCCCTGCCATCAAAAGGATATCCCTTTCATAGCTCCCTGACATCATCAGTCCTGTGCCTTTCTCCCTTCTTCACTTCCAGCTTCACAGCTCCAATCCTATCCTTGCACTGGCTCTCATACTTGCCTGACCTCTCCGGCCACATGTGTAATAGTAAATAAGACAGGGCCAGAGTCCAGGCTTAAGCCATACTGTTAACATGCTCTCTGACATCATTTTGGCCCATATCGGCTAGGACTCTCCCAGAGAAATACCCAGGCATGGTTAAGGGGACAGCACATACAAAGCAATGAACGCCTCTCAACTGGTAGTTCGAACGCAACCACTTTGTTTCAGGAGGAAGACAGTTAGGTATGCGGAAGCAAGTTGCATCTTGCCATTTTGTTCCAGGTCCAGAGAACAGTCCCTATTATATTCCCCAGAATAGACATGGCGTCAGTGAGACAATTCAGCTCATTAAACTGGAAGAAACGGAACACAGAAAAATATAAATAGTCAGAGTTAGCTGAACTGACTCGCTACGGGGCCAGCACAAAGAAAGGATGGGACAGCACGGCTGGTAGCAAGAGAAAGAAGCATGAAGAGAGAGCATGACTGACTGATCTCTAACAACAGTTGCTAAATCAGCTCAGCCCACACCGTGTAACCACACCTCCCACTGTAAGCCTCCTGTCTGCAGGGCTATCAGATATAAAACAGAGACGGGACACCCTATTCTATGTTTTTATGTCTATATATATTAATTATACATAATATATACATTACATTAAATATATGTCTACATGCTTAAAGGATAATTAGTATTAAATTTCCACAGGACTTACTCTCTTGAGAAAATGCAACTCCCCATAGCTAGAATTATGGTAGATGAGTATGCTGAAAAATTAGACGCCCAAAATATACTTTTAGAAGCTGAACGTTTGACAGCTTTTTGAAAATATTGGCCTATTTATGTACAGTCACATCTCTATGGAAATACAATATACAAAATGTACACCTGCTGCTTTTTCCAAAAGCAGTACCATATGCCAGGAATTACTCTTGTCTCTCAGCTACAGGTTTTCAAAAGCTGCTACCTGACTTATTTCTAGTCAGTCTGACCTGCTCATCTGTACGCAGCAGCCTTTTGTCCTGAGTTGCATATAATTATTTTAAAAAAATAATTTTAGAAGTAAAAACTAGTTCAAATTTCTTATGTGTTCTCTGTGGGCCATATGTGGAATATGAGTATATGCACTACACCATTTTAAAGTTTTGTACGCATATAACATGACAACATAAGTCACAGAGCAAAATTGCCAACAACCTTGTCTAAAACCACTGACAAGTCTCCTGTTTACACAGCTCTCTTCTAGTGAAGCTGCATCCACACAACATACTGCATAGACTAAAAGCACACCCAAGAAATCCTAATAATTCAGCACACTTCTGCAAAACTGAATATTTACCTGCACATTAAGGAAGAAAATTTGGAAACTTGCATTTAGGCATGTCCAACTTCACTGACATAATTTTAGTGTCCAGTATTTTGCATCTGAGCTAGTTATTTTTTAAAATTATTCTTAAAACTACTAACTTTCATCAAGAACGTAGTTCTAGCCTCCATTATAAACATAATTTTAATGCTAGCAATGTACATTGCCTGTAATGTCCCCCTAAAATTGTCAAAAAGCCCACAATATCCACTATGACCTGTGGGCTTTTTTTAAAAACTTCAGAGCGGGTGAATTAGTGGATCCTTTTAAAGGAGCACCCATCAGCTCTATTGTCAAGACGCTATCAAGCACCGCCCGATAATAAATCCAAGAGTCTCCAAATACACTCTCTTTTGACACAATGCCCATTCCTCCTCTCTCCTCTCCTTCCCACCCTCCCTAAATCCATACGGTTCCATGTTATATTTTTCAGCCTAACTAGTCTAGGGAACATTCTTCATCCGCGCAGAATAAAGATGCGAGAGGGATTTGTTTTGTTTAATACAAGCCTGCACTGTGACTCCAATGCCATGTACTTAACATTCTTGTTGAAGCAGTAACACTAACAGGAGACCAGGAAATGTCAACAGTAACTCAAGTCTTTGCTTCCAAATAAGTTTTGCTAACAGACAAAAGTTCTTCTTACCATGCAAATTCACCTTCTGGTTTTAAGTTGAGCGTTTTCTTCAGCAAATTGTTATATTAACCACTTCCATAAGACAGAGAATTATTTTAAAAAAACAAAACCAAAAAGGCATGTAGGGACTGTTATCTGTGCCTGTGTTACACAGAAAAACGAATTGCAATACAACTCTGCAGGCAGGTATTAGAACTCACTGAGACAACATCATAGTGCTAGATGCATACACATATCCAAAAAGACAGTAAGCCCTGCCTCAAAACCTTAATCACAGGCAGCAGAATAGTTTCAAATAATCTATTTTTATATTAGTCTAAATAATTTTAGAACAGATTGCAATATCATTTTTCCATGCAAAACACTAATTACATCAAACTATAAGCACCATTTACAACAGTAAATGCTCTCACCACCAGGATTTTATACAGTCTTTGATGAGTAAGAAGTTAATCTACCAGTAGTTCATCTGCACATCAAACAGCAGCTCTTTTTTTACATACTTATCAACAAACTGAAAATATAAAATACTGCACTCACTGGCTTTCATGTGTATTTCAGCTGGCTGAAACCAAATACCAGAGGACCTTACAACTTCAGCAGCTGCTAACTGCCAAGTAATTACTTTAAGTTCCTAAAGGCAGACACATTTTTGAATGAGTTTCTTTTACTACTTGGAAGGATTAATTGAATGATCTTATAATTTACCAATTAAAAAAAAAAGAGATCAAGTTATCAGCATTTCTAGAAAGGAGAGGTATTTTGCCAAATTCTTGCAAATTTATTTTGCACTGTTAAGCGTTTCCACAGGTATAAGATAACTGGAACTCAATAAATTTAGACATACTTTTTTCACTATATTCTTCTCTTCGTTAACCCTCAATTTTAAAGCTGCAAAGTTAAAAAAAAAAAAAAAAAGTTTCTACTTCTCATGCTTAGTGTATTTTAAAACATAAGGAAAAAAAACACACAAACCAGTCATGTAACAACCTAAGCCTAAATCAGAAATAGACTGCCTGTGAATTATATTTTATAATTTGTATTAATCCATGTATAAGAAGTTCTCCACTGAATACAGCAATTATACTTCCTATATATTTAAAGACACATGCAAAGCATTTATAAATAAATATTGTTTCATAAGCAGAAACTATTAGAACTGGTATGAGGAAGCAGAATCAGATTTGGCAACATCTCAACGCCACATGCAATCTGGTCACATAACAATGTGCTTCATATCCATTTCATGTTTTATAAAACAAGTCAAATATTAAACTAGAATCTCTCAATCTATTAAGTGTATTTTGAGTATAGTGATGACTGAGCGTCTAATCTTACAGGACAAGTAATTTTTCATTCAGGAAATATCAGCACTCTACTTCATAAAAAGTTGTTTAATATTTAATTTTACACACCTTGTCCTGTGAGATACTGAGCACTCTACTTCTAAAACATTAAGAATTCAGAATTCTACTGAGTAATGCCTTCACACAACTTCCTTCTGTTTAAAAGTACAACACAGCAGTAACTATCAGAACATATGGAAAAATTACTCTGTTCTCCAGACTGTGCTGTTACCTTCCATTTATCAAATATTTGTCCGTACTAGTTGCTCACATTTCTTTCCTTGTCAGTTGACAAGGAAACATAACCACTCTTTACAGAAATTCTTCCTCAAATGTTTTTCTTCTCTAGCTGTCCAAAAAAACCCATGCCAAGATAGCTCTCAATCCACATATTTACTTACCACTTCATGCAGCCTCCTGCAAGGTTGAAGTAGAAGTTGGTTTCCATAATCTGTACCCCTTCCATGTCATGTGCACATTGGTGTTAACACGTGGCTCTTCATAAATAAAAAGCTGCTGACATTCTTTCTTAAAAATAAATAAATTGAGTGAGTAAAAATTTCCCAAAGCTTCCCACTCTATATTAAAACATGTATGGTAATACTTTTTCATATTTCTTGACGCTTTTTCAGAAAAATATACTATTATTTCATTTGAGCTAATGTTATTTTTTAAATCAATTTATTAATATAACGCTTTTACAGCGGGACTACTCTGACATCTAGCTAAATGGAGGCTCTAACTGGTACACCCTGGTATCATTCTGATCTTTTTTCTCCGTATTAGAATAAATCAAAAGCACTCAGTTAACACCATTTTAGTCAAAGTCTTGTGGTATTCTCCTAATTAGCTGTTATAAAGCAAATACTTTTACTCAAAGAGCATTCTCAAAACCATCCAAGTATTCATGTGGACAAACTGTTAGAGCAGCTACGGTTTCTGCTGCACACATGCATATCCACAAGGTGTCTTTGCAACAGGCCTTTAAGTGCCATTCACACCCCAAAGGTAGAGATTTTACTTTCACATACTTTAGAGGGCTTCTTTAAAACAAACAACCAAATAAAAACTTCATTTATCTTCACAGACAATTATGGAGTTCTCTTTTTTCCTCCCCTTGTAACAAATATTTCATTTGAGAGAACTCAAAACTCAAATCTCAGCAGGTAAGCTAGAGCAAAGACAACCTTGACCCCTTGACCACCCCAGATCAACAGTGAGCACTATAATCCATTTTCTGGAACAAGATGAATATCTTAGGCCATGTGTCCTACACTGCTGTAGGATATTACCATCTTCTGTAATATTTTAAAATATTTTAAATATTGAATTTTTAAATATGTTGTAATATTTAAAACATAACCATACAAAATCACAACTGCAATGCAACGACTTTTTCCATGGTTAAAAATTCACTATTCCCTTTGAGGGGATTGCATTTTTGAGGGATAAAAACAGAAAAAAAGATGACAGCAAAGAAATACTGAAATGCAAGGGAGAAAAATACAAGTTTTCATGACGTACAAGATCATAATAGGTAATCAAAACTCCCTAGGCCACTTGATTATAGAGGATGAGATTCAATATAAAGCATCAGGAGATTGATAAGAACTTTTTTTTGGACGATGTCAAGTGCTCCTTCCATACACGGAAAAAGAAAAAGAGCCTGCTGTCTACACAGTTCTACAAACGTCTGATAAGGTCAGTTCACACACTCATCCTTCCGAAATACATTGTGCTACTTAAATCCAAAAAGTTGCCATTAAAAGTAACTAGCAGCCAAAGGCTGTTTGATAGCTCACGGGAAATAACAAAATTATGATACTGGTTTAGCTCTGAGTGGACTTGTGACCACATCACAGGAACCACCACTGCTGTCAGTTTCAGTATGAGAGCAGGTATCCTCAGTATTAACATAGCGGTTCAAAATTTGAAAAGGATTGACTTTGCTGCCTGGAAAAAAAAAGCAAGTTTCAGCCCGATATTTAGTGTTAGATACTTATAAGAAAGTTTGTTCGTGTTCTACAATACAAGAACAGGTTGATGAAACCTTTGCTTCCCAGCAAAACTTATGCAACTTCTTCATGTGTGCAGTACTTCTATGACATCCAATGCCACAGAAGTGTCAGACATCATTATTTCAAATAATCCTGTCCTCACACATCTTCCATTTGAGAGCTTAGAAATAGCTACTCACACCAGTGAGATGGGGCTAATCTTAATATGAATAGACAAGGCCATTTCCAACTTAAAAACAAGACCTTTTAACACTTCTTTCCATTTCTATGTGAATGCTATCTTTTCCACTCTTTCAGAAAACAAGTGGACAGGCCTATAGGGACAATCAAGAACACGTTTTTCTTGTCAAACCACAAAAACAAATCTAGGGGGAGCTGCCACTGACCCACTCCTCCGTCCAAGGATAAATCCGGCCAATTGCATGGTAAAAGCACAACCTGTCTGAAGGATAACCTCCAAACACCTTATCTTCCATCCGGCGCATATGTTGCTTTCTCAAACTAGGTAAGGACAATTTATATGTGCTGTGTTCAGGAGATACTGCAACAGCAAAACAGCACTTTTTAAAAGACAGGACTTCTCTTTCTCTCCCTCTCTCTCTTCCCCTTCCCCCAACACCCTGAAGTCTCCCCATAAAGTTTCCCAGATTGCTCTTTAGCCATAAACACTAACCTCTGCCAGGGCTGGTTCCTGCTGGTTCTTTAACCCCTGTGACCTCGGGGCGCCTCCCACCGCGGCTCCCCACACAGGCAAAGCGGAGGCGTGAAGCCCGAGCGCAGCAATAAACACTAACCTCTGCCAGGGCTGGTTCCTGCTGGTTCTTTAACCCCTGTGACCTCGGGGCGCCTCCCACCGCGGCTCCCCACACAGGCAAAGCGGAGGCGTGAAGCCCGAGCGCAGCAACAGTAATGGCTAAAGCATCTCCCCAAACCAGCTAACTCTCTCTCCTCGCCTTTGCCACCGCCGCCACCACGGGTTTGC